GAATATAACATAGCTCAATTGTTGTTCGCCAATGTACAATAAATACGGCACCAGCTGGCAGTGTTGACGTGTTTTGTGGTTATATATATGTACATATAATATAATAATAATATACGATAATATGGTTTCGCAGTCGGTGCTGCAGTTTGTAGGCCATTTTAAGCATATGCGCTTATTATTATTATTTATAAAATATAAACCTATATTATGTATGTGTGTGTGTGTGTGTGTGTGTGTGTGTGTGTGTTTGGGTAAGTGCGCGAATACCGTGTGTTTAGGTTTACGCTGTTTATGGGCACTTACCTCCTCTATTATATTACATGCATCGAACAAAGAATTGACCGTTATTCCGGTGTGCCGTCCACCACGAACCACATAATAATATAATTTAGTATTAGGCGTGTTCTGCGCCTGTTGTAGGTACCTGTCCTGCATTGGCTGTATGAAGTATAATGTTATTCATTCGTATGAACCGGTGTGGGTTACCTACGCGTGAAGTATAATATTCGTGTAAATAACAATATAATCCTAGAAAATATACAATAGTATAATATACATATATACGTTTATCGTTCGAGAGAGGGCAGTGCACCACTATTTTAAATTAATAAAATGATTAGAATATCATTATAAAAATAATTGTATTAATAATGTACTTAACCTTAACCTTACCTGTCTATATATAGGTACAATATTATAATGATTTTTCTCTAACCCTGAAAATAGTGGCCACATCATTATAATGTGACCGAAAAATTTGTTGGGGGAAAAAAATGTCGTCAAGGTCAGTGGGTCGTGAGACTCGAACACCCTGCTCCCCCAACCTATCTGGATCTGTCCAATAATCCGTATAGATAATTGCTCATATAGCTGACACGAGACTTCCTGTGTACTGTAGTTTTTATTTTACTCGGACTTCAGTAGCTTCGTTGGTTCTTCAGTTCTTGAGTTTCCAAATGTTGTACTTACTGTTGTATCCTTAGACCCACCCTCAATCTACACCTATGCCTAAGACTATACAAATATTCAATATTTCAATGTATATGAACAACAAGTGCATAATATCATACCTACTTTGTGACTGAAACGCATTTTCTTTCAAATTCGATTTCCATACTTCCATTTGCTAGACAAAATACCTAAAACGTATACAAAGGTTGCAGACTTGCGCCACAAGCAGCTTTGTACAGTACACACCTATTCGTAATGGCGTAAAAATAAGATAAATATAAAAGAGACTCCCGTCTATAATTATATTAAAATCTAATCTTAAATTTAAGAAACTGTATGATTCTCCACACTTATAAGTTCTAGATAATAATACCAGATGAAAATATTAGAATTATTTTATTACCTTTCTCCAGGTGTTCGGAGGGCTCTCGAGGTCGTGTATTCGAGAATTTGATCAAATACAACAGTACACCATAATTGCATGTAAATCTGCATATAATGTAATATAATGCAGTCATTATGTAATATATTTTATATTAAATGCTTTACCTGATTCGCAGCCGTTCCTAGGTCATTCTGTGTAAGGTTTAGGTGACACACTACTCAAAATAAACGATTCGAAACAATAAGACACACTGATTATAATGTTCGTCATAAGGAGTTCAATTGTCGCTCGCAGGATTCGGTATGGAGAGGTTGTTGCTGTGACGGGTGGTGCACATGCGTTGACTAAGGGACGACATTGTTATGCTGTCCAGACAGTCGCAGTTGGCTGCTTTATCAAAAGGTTATTTTGCGCATCGGAGAAGCATATTTTTCTCTTCGATGGCAAACATGGACCTTATACTACTAGACAAGAACTGTGTATTAAAGCATGCAAGTAACAACAACTCACAGTTGTGTACTATGCTGTCTTTATCGAAAAAATACGATAATCTGAATATCTTATCCCGCTACCCCGCACTACCATGCGTAAGAGTAATCGAGTAATCAAAAAGAGCCCTCTATATGTTGTTACACTTACCATACGCTCATTTCCTTGTGCAGTAGTAATATAACTGTATAAGCTCTATGCCATGGCGGCAAAGACCATTTTCGACCATACTTTTTCGCTGGAGGCATTTAAGGCGCCCTTNAAGGTTATTTTGCGCATCGGAGAAGCATATTTTTCTCTTCGATGGCAAACATGGACCTTATACTACTAGACAAGAACTGTGTATTAAAGCATGCAAGTAACAACAACTCACAGTAGTGTACTATGCTGTCTTTATCGAAAAAATACGATAATCTGAATATCTTATCCCGCTACCCCGCACTACCATGCGTAAGAGTAATCGAGTAATCAAAAAGAGCCCTCTATATGTTGTTACACTTACCATACGCTCATTTCCTTGTGCAGTAGTAATATAACTGTATAAGCTCTATGCCATGGCGGCAAAGACCATTTTCGACCATACTTTTTCGCTGGAGGCATTTAAGGCGCCCTTTACCATTACAAGTTGGTACTTGTCGATTTCATAATTCGTGATCGTATACCTAATATAGGTCTTATCTGTGGCCACGGTTTTATTGGGGTCTAGCCGTCTAGGGATTTCCGATCTCTACACTCGACAGTCTTACCACAGTTTATTGGTCTGTAACATTTTATCTAATTATTATTATGATGATCATTATGATTTATGAGCATATCGCTACACATTATAGGAATACAGAACGGTGATGATAAATGATAATTATATGAATATGTCATTGGGTGTAACACAAAGTATTGTGTGCTAAAAATAAAATGGTGGAAAAATAAAATATAATAATGCGCGAATATTATACAATAGGTCCGTCGACCAGCAGCTGTCCTACATCGGCTATAATATATTTTATTGTGTGCTGCCATCGTATAATTTGTATACCTGAAACCTGTACGAGTGCCTACCGCAATATAACGTTTCATAATAATAATAATTGTATTTTGTGTCGGTGTACCACATATAATATGTATACACATATACCTATTTGTGTTCGCCGTCCCACTTATTAACAATATTTTCGAGTTTTCGACACGTTCTCGAAATCCGTTCGGAGCTCCGAAGCTGGTATAAATGTATAATATTTAAAAAGCAAAACACCATTGTATTATATATTTTACCATAGTATTGTACAGGTACCTGCTACGGGTGGGCCGTTCACAAGTCACGAGGGCTGACCGCTGACCGAAAATATGTAGAGTTTGAAGTCGAAGGAATGGAGACCAAATGTTGGACTTAAATTTGGATCAAGGGCCGGTCAAGCATGGAAAACTCGGTGGGCCGAATTTGTCCAATCCGGCCTTGCTGCCAGATATAGATCAACATGTTTATTAATTTATTATTGTAAAATGCAACTACTGTTCGTAGATACACTACGGTCTGTATCAGTGGCGAAAAAAACCTAAAATAACCCTCAAACAGCCTAAAATTGACTTACCAATCCGGTAAGCACGATTGGGTATACCATATTACCATACGTCCTTACTCCTTTCTAGCAAGACGATTGAGCATGGAACATTTTATGCGACGTTGCCACATTCACGTTACTAAAATGTTGTCATTTATTTATTATTTTCAAGAATATTATTACAGCAATTATTAGGATACCAAAATTAAACGAGCCACAAGTTGTGAGCCGAGCCCAGCTTTATTGAGAATGTTGTCGAAAAAGCTAGAATTGTTTATACAAAAACTTCGACCAATGGGTATTCAAATCGTAAGAATACGGGGTAACTACTGGATAAGGTATGTATTTAGAAACAGATATCAAGGTATATCAATTTAATTTATTATTATTTTCAATTTCAAACCAGCAAGTATGAATACTTTATTCTTTTTATTACCATAATTATTATCAAGTAGGTAAATTGGTAGATCTATGAAATTTGACTATTATTGGCTAAGAAATCATGTTATCGTGTTATTTTTTAACTCTTACTCAATTTTTTTGACTAATATAGTTCAAAATTGAAAATGTCAACATCGCAGGTTTTCTTTTGTATTTCTATATCCTTTGATACTCCGACAAATGTGCTTAAGCGTATCGGAAAAAAGGTGCTTAATGTTCAATCGTGTTGTAGTCCACCCACCCTCCAGGCTCCTACCAAGAATTTATAATAAACACTGCAAGTATAGTATTACTGTTTTCCTACTGTGATTTCAGTTTCACATTTGAGCACCCGCAGATCAACCCACTCTAAACATTTTAAAAAATCGAAAAGCAACCGCTTTTAAAATATCATGTGACGTTCATTTCGCCACTGGCCTATAAGCCGCTTGGTATTATATGATTAATAATCATTGATTATAGCTGGTCTTGAAACGTTTATAAGTATTAATTATTATTCGAACAAATATTTTTACAGTCGTTTCGTATTTGATCAAGGTAAATTGTAAATCGTTGAGAAACAGTGCAACACATTTTAATTATATAATTTTTAAGGAATAGGTACACTTAACATGATACTCGACCGAGGTGCACTGAAATGATGTTTTTCAGAGTTTGTCAAACAGTATAATAATTATACACAATATCGTTCGAATATAAATGTTGTATTCAAAAATGTTAAAAACAACTCTGTCGCTGAATCATAATAATGTCCATTAGAGTTTCCGAGCCGTTTATTAATAATAATATTATTATTATCATTATTATGTGCTGTAACAATAATATAAAAACCAACACCTACCTACTTTGACTTTCTCTCCAAACATGTATATAGAATACAAACAGAACAGCTGATTTTGTAATGGACGTTGTATAGGTACTTTTCCTTGAACAAAATATTATTTTTCCTCTCTCCAAACGTTCTTTAATAAAATGGAATAATTAAATAAAAATACTAAAATTAGTACATTGAAAATAATGTACAAAGTACATGTTTATTCGTTATTTTTTTTTCAATTTTTAATATCATTATTATTAAGAACAGATTTGACAATAGAAAATGTTTAAACAACAGTACAGGCCACGACTTTCTTTTACATTTCATAAGCCAATTTAAATTAACAGTTATGCAATTATTAATTTAGAACTGTTTGGGTGCAAATTATTTAAATCCGCTAGTCATATTAAAAGAATGTTAACAGGCCGATAAAAAAAAACAATTTTAAAAACCAAACAATTCGTAGGCAAAAATTATTGTTCAAATAAGAAATGATCTATTATACATAACATAGTAAATAAATAAACTAATCATAAAATGGAGACAAATTTGATGATTGGTTATTTACATTGTTTTTAAAACAAAACAATTCTTAATAAATGTATTATCATGAGCAAAAATATGATTTTCAAATGGTATCAGTTATAATGTCGAAACAATGTAATATTGAACAGTGGTTTATATAATATATAATATTAAAAAAAAAATATATAATACTATACAAATTCTAGACATTTTTAGCTTCATATATTTCAAAATGAAAATGTAAAACTAACTAGGTACAAATAGAATAAAATACACAAAGATCAGTTGATACCATACGTACTAATTACATAGACAAAAATCACAATTTTAGTTTTTGAATAAATTAATTTTTTTCCGCTAAATAAAGATTTTTTTTTTAAAAATATATTTAAGTTCCAGTTTGATGTTTCTGAGCAGGTTCAATTCTCAAAATTATAAAATAATTTTACCAGTTGTATATTATACTTTAATGATTATACACAGTTCATATAAAAATTGGTCAAAAAACATTTTATTTCTTGGATAATAAATATTATACAATGCTGGCAAAAAGGGCAATAAGGGATACAATAATTTTAAGTCTTTTAAATTTATTTTTATTTTATGTTATCAGTTATCACCATAAAAGAAGCTCACAGTTTTCAATTTAAAATACTACTAAATTATATTGTGAAGTTCTATATAAGTAATATTTCATTAATAGTATTTTTCTAAAATTACTAAAGCTATATTAGGTATGGCCTTAACTATTCAATATGTACATTACCTACTTAGCACAAGTATTATATTATTATAATGTTTAATATAATAGTTGTGTATAAATTAAATTATTATATTAATTAATACCTATATCACGAATTTAAAACAAAAATAATATAATGATGTTATAATTGATGGCACCAAATTTTTCTTCCTACATTAAGACTGCCAGTTCTTTATTTAACAGTCTAATTTTTTTAACAAAACCAAAATATTTTTCCAATCATTAATTTATCAAAAAGTGGGACACTTAATGGGTCAACATATTCCTTTGTTTAGTGTGTGAAATTAAAATAAAAATTAAACTTAATTCTCTAAGAGGAATGAAAATTTATTATACATAGGTACGTTATTAATAAAAACATACAAGATTGTTTTGTCCTTTTATAGAAAAAAAAATATATAATAAAAATAATATAGTAATAATAGATTGCAAAATTGATAGGTTTTGTGGATTGTCTTGGAAAAACAAACTTTTAGAATCAGTACACATATATCTGTTTGAGCTGGTCCCGTAGTTCTGCGGGTATTTTGTATGCGTCTTGTTGCTGTTGCTTTTTGTGCACCAGTCTTCGCCACTTGCCTCGCAAGTTTTTCCGTAGTCCCTTGCGGTGCTCTGCGGTTTCTTCGATGGGTACACTGCACACCAATGTGTCCTGAAATCCATTAAAAATCCCGTCAGTTACATCGAAACAAAACGGTTGGAAGTGACCAATGTGGGTATAAAGAAACTTTGAAAATGTAGTGTTTAAAATTTAGCACGGCAGCTGAAATAATATCCAAGGCAATATTGTGGGTTACCGTAATAATATTTATGGTATTCATTTTGTTCTTACAAAACCAGTAGTGCGCACCAAATTATAACGTTTAACCTTCTACGGTGTGTAGGCATTCCATACACACTATCCTTGTCTTGATAATGCATTTCTCCCACTTGAACCGCAGATAAGATGAACAATATTTAATGATCTCATGTTTTCAATGAGCTCATTAATTATAAAAGAAAGGTTAGGTACCTACTCGTTAAAAATAAATTAATAATTTAGAAACTATGTGTTTTAAATGAAATCAATTATTATCGTTCGGTACCTACATCAATGGCCAGACTTTATCCCAACCTTATCATTTGAATTAAAACCGTCTACCAATGTATAGAGCTATGTATGTATAAGTCCAATGTAAGCAATAACCTCGGAAATAACCGATGTGATCGGACCCTACCAATAGCAGTGATGATTGTATTACCTGATCGGAGCTGTACAGCCTGTACGGTGAGTTATACCCATTGGTGTTTTTGGCTGCAGCGTTTTTGGCCGAATACTGCCAGAGGAACGGTAGAGGTACGGGCGCATCACCAACGTCACCCGATACGGTTGTGACAACGGCGACGTCGACAGGCTGGGCATGGGGCAGCTGACAGTCCACATTGTTGTTGTTGTTGTTGTTGTTGTTGATCGCAGTGTTGGCGGTGGCGACGGCTGTGGCCGCTGCGGTGGCCGCGGCAGCTACGGCGGTTTCCTCGCGTTTCCTAAGCTTGCTGCGAACCAAACGGACGGTTAGAAATTTAGAACCGTTGCTACCCACCATTTTCAAGCTGTCCCTAAGCGTGCTTATGCAATTGAAACGCGCTTTGGTCTGTTCGAGGGTACCGGTGGCCGGCGCTTTCGGATAAGCCACCACGCCGCCAAACGTAACGGTTTTGGCGGAGCACATAGCGTCACCGCTCGGGGAGAGTAACGAAAATAACGACGACGGTAGTATGTGCCGTTATTGGTGTCACACTTGTGTAGAGAGAAAGACAAAAACGTTTTCGGTGTGTTCAAAAACGGTACGACACACAAATCGCACGCGCACAAACACACACTCAAAGATACACTTAAACAATATTATAATATACGAATTTAATTTAATCGTATGATATTATACAGAATACGCTATTTTAAAATAATAATATTACGTTAACGACTAGTTTCACTATCACAGCCTCGTGTATGTTTCGACGAATATTATATAATAATATTATATTGTACCGGACGTCCGACGGTGCGGTTCTTCACCGAGAAGAATATTTCAAGTCTTGTTTTTTCGACACGATATATTATATATCATATAACCGACCGCCGAGGAGGAGAGAACGTCGGTGGTCGAAGAGAACAACAATTAATAGAAATTAAAAATAATATTAATAAATACACACGCGCGCGCGAGCGTCGCGTCTCGGGTTAGGTGGTAGACACGACGACGAAGACGAGTGTGGTCGCGGCCACGTCGGAAAAGACGCGGGGTTGTCGAACGGAGTTATTAACTGAACGGCTGGTGAGTGGGCCTGATCATTTTCCGGGAGCGTGTCCAAAGCGGTGGCCTCTGTAAGTGGTGATGGTGGTGGTCGCCTGCCGTGGACGACAACGACGACGGTACTTTGCGACAACCGACGCACATTCGAAACGTTTATGCGTGTGCACGAAGGAAACAACAACGCTACTTCGCGGCGAACTCAGATGACGACCGTCTACGGTTTGTGTCTTGGCGTCACTGTGGCCGCACAAGTAGCAGAGAGAGAGTGTGTCGACGACGGGACAGACCGCTCACACACTGCAGTCACGCGCAAAGTGCAACGACACTGCGACCGGCTGCAAGTGAGCTGTGGCGCGAGCGACTCCGCATGAGCGACTGGTCGTGGTTGTGCCGCGCGAGCGAGACGGTAAATGCGATACGGTGCCGCACGACGGCGAGCCGACGACGCCGCGTTGTAGCCGACGACCGGTGGGAGCGCCGAGCGCCGTCACCGCCGGTGTCAACCCTCCGCCGCAGTCGTCCCCGCCACACACCGCCGCCCGGACGCCACGTTGCCACATCGCCTGCGCCCGATGGCGGTGGTGTGCCCGTGCCGGGGTTGGGAGGGGGTGGCTAGACGGGACTCGATTCACGACGCGTCGGTTAAATCTTTTCTATAGTCGGGTACGTGTAACAATGATATTATATTATTATTATTAAGTCTGCATGGGTAATGTGGGTGAGTGTGGGTCTACAGCCATGGACGATCAACCCTAAAAACGTGTTTATTTGTGCGAGTTGTGTGAGTTGTGTTCGCTACCACTGCTATAACATTTCAGTTACATACTATTATTATTATTATTATTAGACCTTAACATATTTTGGGTGTACTAGAATCATGCTAAGCTTACGATACGAATTCAAGAATTCCCTACTTATATTCAAAATGTTTAGGTATTGCGAATAATAATAATTAATAAGCAAAAATGTCTACATTCGATATTTAGATAAATTCTCCTGTCATACAGCAGCTGCAAATTTAGTTGGTAATAAGATCTTTAGTTATAATTGATTTTTTTTTTTGAATATTTAACATTGACGAGTTTGAAAACCGTTCTTTTGTCACGCTAGTGCGTAGCTATTTTTTATCGGTCGTATTATATAGAAATCAATAGACTAGTATAAGTAATTATTAAGTATAGTAGGCACCTATTTAGTTTGGGATTCCAACAAAATAGTTGAGGGTGCCCACTAGCTCCCCTCCCCAGTTGTACCTGTGTATTAGTACGTCGTGTTAATTTGCAGAATGGTATGTTATTAATATATGTTATATTTATCCTATCTTCCCTCCCCTCCTGGCCATGGGTGCCATCGAAGTGTTGTATTATTTGAGTTTATGGGGAAAGTAATATTAATATAAAGAAGTGTGCATTATTCTGTTAAAAAATACCTCGAAATTCAAAATAAAACTAATTTATTATACCTACTGTATTATGTCGAGAATCTATTTTAAACAATGAATTTGTGAAAACGACTACTATAAACGTATCACACGCGGTATTAAAAAAAAACCTTTTTACATAATATAATATAAATATAAATTCACTGTACGGTCGCCGTCTGAGTCGTCGTATAGTCATCATTTTACCTAATGTTTTATGTTCCGTCATGTACGACTCTAAAACATATAATAATATGCGTATTATACCTTTATATAGTACAGTGAAACCTCTATTAATGGACACCTCTCAATAGTGGACCCTTCCCAATAGTGGACACTTCTAAATTCCCCGGCAAAAATGTATGCGCATAATAGGAGTTATAACCTCTTAGTAGTGGACACTCTTAATAGTGGACGTAGACACAATAAACTGGTACCAAATTAAAAATTACCTCTCATAAATGGACACAATAAATGTACATATCGAAAACGTTTAATAAAAACACTATATTTATCTGTTATATATTCGTTTATATTTAAAACCAAGGAAACAGAAAATCTAAGTGTTCGTGTTTTAGCAGAACGATTTTGCATAAGCAAGTCACAGGTAAATTTAAATATTTAATTATGTACATACATATTTTGTTTTAATTTATCTAAAAATAATTTAATGAAAAATATAGGTGAATAACATTTTACAAGATAAGTGTAATTTGAAAAAATATTACGCTATTTTTTCGAGCACTTCCTGATAAAACATTGTGTTTAAAAAACGAAATTTGTCGTGGAGGTAAAATAGCTAAAGATCGTTTAACTGTTTTACTATGTGTAAATATGATCGGGGAATTTGAAACTCCGTTAATAATTGGAAAATCACTAAAACCACGTTGTTTCAAAAGTGTAAATGTATCAACGTTAGGTGTTAATTGGAAAGCTAACCATAAGGCATGGATGAATCGAGATTTAATGACAGATTGGCTAATGTGTTTTAACAGAAAAATGGAGATGGACAATAGAAAAATTATTTTATTTCTAGAAAATTAATATTCCAATGTATATGTTCATATGTATACAGTGTACATATAGCCCATTTCCTATAGTGTCTCCCTATAGTGGACATTTAGTAATTTTTTGAAAATGTCCACTAAGTAAAGGTTTTCTCAATAGTGGACAACTCTCTATAGTGGACAATTTTTAATTCCCCGTGGCTGTCCACTATATAGAGGTTTCACTGTACACCGAATACCTCTGATGCATATCAGCTGCTGTCTACACGAATGATACCTGTGATATTTTTTATTTTCAATCATTATTGTTTTTTAATACTATTATACGTTTTCGGCGTTGGTTTTCTCTCGCACGAAGGTCCCCAAATGAATTATGAGCACACATACCGCGTGCTTCAAATGCCTGAACAAACCTCAGCCCATCATGATATATTTTCTACCTGTGCGCCGGTTTCTGTTCGTTATCGAAACACATAATAATATCATAGAATATTCGATAATCCGGAAACGTATTTCGTGGTTCCCTTCGTCGCTGTATATTATGTGTTCTATAGCTGCTGGTAAAACGTATTTTTTAAATAATTGTAATTCGTGAACCACCATCACCCCGACCCCGCCGACTGCTCCATAGGTATATATTAAATTGTGTGTATAAATATATGTATAGGTATATACACATCAGCTAATATTATACGCATTGACATAACGAAACACAAATATTCGAAACAAAACGACGACGTATATATCACGTGTATAATAATTATAATTATAACTCCTATAGGTATATATGTGTAGTATCAAATTTTTGAAATGTTAAATATTCAAGTGGAGGTATAAACGTAGTATACGCATCGATTTCGTTGTAGGTATATTATTATATAAACGTAGGTATAGACGTTACCAGTGCTACTACCTGTATTATTATGATTATAAAAAACATTTTTAAACCCTTTTTTAATTTGTTAAGTCAACATTTCAAATCATTCGATGGAATTATTATAATGTATACGTAATATAAAAATAAAAATGTTTTAGTAATGTTAATGTTTTGAAAGGTAAATTTTCTAGGTCTCACTATGTTTTATTTTAAATCATAATATAATGCTTACAGGTTAGGTTGAAATTATTATTATCTTCAGAAAGAGATGTACAATTATTGATCAAACAAAATTCAAGTCGATTCTCATTTTTCTCAAGTTGCCGTTTTAAAATCCTAATCAACATACATTTAAAAATTTTTAAAACCAGTTTGAGAATCTATTATTTTACTAGGTCGAAGCATTTCATGTATGCATTATATATCTATACATTCAACTCGTTTTCAAGTGAATGTTTTTATTAACTTTCATAAAAGCAAATGATATTTATTTTATAAACTTTATATTAATTTATGACATTTCTTATAGGAATAGTCTCCGGTCATCATCATACCTAGTAGGTATAGTACGACGTGTAATAATTAAAAATACTTATCAAAGAATAATTCACTTTGTCGAATGAGTATATTATAACATACGATACATATTATACAACAATAATCTATATAGTTCAGATATATAGTTTTGTGCATCAATACATAAGTAATTGAACGTGTTTTAAATATTGAAATTACTTCAGACCTAATCGTTTAAGCCTTTTTAAACGTACGATAACACAATGAATGAAATAATATTTATAAATTATCAATTGTTTTCAGATTAAAGGAAATCCAGTCATACGCTATATACACATACTCATAATATAGTCATCATATACGGTGGTATATTATATACTGTTGCAATACTATATTATAGTCTAAATACGAGTACCTATACC